CACAAAACTGACGAAATGTCTACATCAGTGAAGGTTAATAATACACAGTAATTTTGCAACATGTGCACTTTTGCACATTTTCCGCGTCCCAACAGCCCTAAAATGTATCAAATAGAAACATTTCATATCCAGACTCCACCGTGTGTGTGTGTGTGTGTGTGTGTGTGTGTGTGTGTGTCTCTGTGCGTGTGTGTGTGTGTGTGTGTGAGTTCTCCCTTACTGCATTATACTTCCTCCATGACTACTGCACCAGAGAAGAAGACAAAGAACAGTGTTTTAAAGGTGCAGCTCAACCTTTCTGATCCAACCTCTTGATTTATTACAGAGAATAAATGATGAGCAATTTATTCACATACACAAATGTTTGCCATGCTTGTGGCGTGACTGAAGGGATGGCAATAGTGACAGAGCACAATTAAGTCCAGCCCACACCTGAGGAAAAAGTTCATCACTCTTCATTGACTTTGTAATGCATGAAGGTGCTTTCTTGTCACTTAGGTCTGCACTATCAACAGATAAAAGAACCCAGAACTATGTTTTTATAAACTGCTGAACCAAAAACTTTTAAGCCTATAAGAAGACAAAAGTTAATATTACATTGGGGTGTTTCTTTATTTTAACTGGGACTATGTGCCCAAATATTTGCTATATAAGTTACGTTTTCTAATTTTGGAAGACAGACTGTAGAGGGTAAGGCTAACAAATCTATGCAAGACCTGGTTTTGATCTTCCATCCATCCATCCATTTTCATCCGCTCATCCGAGGCTGGGTCACGAGGGCAGCAGGCCGAGCAAAGCACCCCAGACATCCCTCTCCCCAGCAACACTTTCCAGCTCCTCCTGGGGGACCCCAAGGCGTTCCCAGGCCAGATGAGATATGTAATCCCTCCAGTATGTTCTGGGTCTGCCCCGGGGCCTCCTACCAGTGGGACATGCCCGGGACACCTCCAGTGGGAGGTGCCCAGGAGGCATCATGATCAGATGCCCAAACCACCTCAACTGACCCCTTTTGACGCGAAGGAGCAGCGGGTCTACTCCGAGCTCCCTCTGGATGTCAAAGCTCCTTACCCTATCTCTAAGGCTGAGCCCAGCCACCCCACAGAGGAAACTCATTTCCACCGCTTGTATCTGCGATCTCATTCTTTCGGTCACTACCCAGAGTTCATGACCATAGGTGAGGGTTGGGACGTAGATGGACCAGTAAATTAAAAGCTTTGCTTTCCGGCTCAGCTCCCTCTTCACCACGATGGACCGGCACAGCGCCCGCATCACTGCAGAAGCTGCACCGGTCAAATGTTAGGTCAAATGATGATGGTACCTGGTTGATTTGATCCAGTGGTTGTAAATGATATGGAGAGAGACGTCTGGAATACCTTGCTCAGCCTGCTGCCCCCATGACCCAGCTTCAGATAAGTGGTTGAAAATAGATGGATACATCTATCCATCTATGGATGGATGGATGGATAGATAAAGGTGACATTTAAAATTTAATAAAAGTATTAATATCCTGATTGCCGACTGGTGCTCATTTTATTACATCATCTCACTGTACCTTCTTCTGCACTGGTGTTGGGAGAAGTTTGCCTAGAGGGCTTTCTGCCAGCAAAGGAGTTCTTGGTTAAAGTTAGGGGAAAGTCATAATTGGGGTTAACATTAATAGATTTCTGCCAGAAATCTCTAGGGCTCTGCAGTGGCACCTGACTGACTCCACCTACTGCTTTTTTTCAATGAACAAACTCCCAGTATTCACATAACTGTAGTGGATGGGGGCGGCAGGTTCTCCGCCTTCCTCCCATATGCAGGTTTGGGTAATTGGCGACTTTAAATTGCCCGTAGATGTGAAGCAAGTAAACATGAATGGTTGCCTGTCTCTATGTGGCAACCTGTCCAGGGGAGGACCCCACCTCTTACTCAATGTCAACTGGAATAGGCTCCAGCCCCCCCACAACTGAATAGGTTAAGTGATTATGGATAATGAATGTAATGGATGGAAAAGCACATAAGTTCACTTTTTCTCTTGCCAATTTGGCGCCACATTTGGATGGAAATCCAGCTTATGTCTGCAGGAGGGTCGGTCCACCTCTTTTGCTAAAGAGAATAGAGAATGGATTACTATGTACAGACATTCAAGCCCCCCTCAGGATGAATGGTAATCATTTCGATGAGTCCTTAACTTTTCAACTTGTACAATCATCAGGTGAGCCCCAGCTGTACTTTTTAGGCTATTTACTGCTAACAGGCAAATGTTAGCATGTGTTTCTTGTAAGAATTAAACAAAGAAGATATAAGGTGTTAATGTGAGCTTCTTGTTACCTTTGGTTTCCAACAGTTTCCAGTCTCTGTGCTGTCATAAAGACCTGAGGGTAGTCGATCTTCTCGCCTAACTCTCAGCAAGAAAGTGAATACGCTCTCAATACAGTGTCAACACTGATCTCCACCCTGCACTCAGGTTGGGCACATATCAAACACATGCTAGTTCTAAAGGAAAATCTAGTTTCTTTATTGTTTTCATTGTCATTTGTTTATTTTCTCCTTGTATTCTAGCAGAGCATTGTACACAGGGTTATGTCAGCTTTGTCTTTTCTCTCCATTCAAAGAGCTAATTGGACCTCTTTAGCACTTCCATTAAAGGGTGTGGAGAGGCATGGGAGGGAATAGCGAGAGGAAAGGAAGGACATTACGGCCATTTCACAAACTACGCTTTCAAACTTAAATCTCCAGCTGCACTGTTGTTTTTCTCTGCGTAGACTTTCATGTAGCCTCGAGGGACCAGTTGCACACCTAATGACACCCCTGACTTTGCTCTCTATCTCTCTCTGTGCTGCACCCCTCTCTTTGTGTCTTTGTACGTGTCTGTGTCTGTCTCTATCTTTTACATGTCTATTTTTATCTCACATTTCCCCCTATGTGTCACTCAAGGACTTTTCATCAATAGCATCACCTCCTCCATGTCCATTTATAACAGCCTCCTCATCTGTATCTACAAGTCCAAGGCAAGTTCATACAGCCATGACACATCAGACATATGTTATGTATTCTCTTTAATGTCTTTAAAACCTATGAAATCCCATTAAATGTCCAATGTATTTTAATTTCTTTATGGACAATGTGTGTCCTCAAATCTGGCCAACTGTTGGTTGACAACCAACCATGTATGTAAGAGCAGTGGTGAGTAAAGCTTTTTTAAAAGGTTTGTGTGAATGCGTTTGTCAGTTAATGACGGATGGGCCAACACAAAGAAAATATCACATTACACACTCTCGACACGGCAAACAATTGGGGGAAGGGTAGGCACACACTCACACAGCAGACGCAAACACACATACACACACTTCCCCTAGTTCTTCGATTGCAAATGCCGACAAATGATATTCTGTCGGCCAATCACCTTTTCCAATAACGCCAGTGAGCCAATAAAACAGCTTGGTCCCGAAGTTTAAATTTGTTTGAACAGACACAACTGTGGGCTACACAGACTTCCCTAACACACACACACACACACACACACACACACACACACATATACACACACCTGTTGTATGAGCTCCCACAGTGAGAAAAGGTTGGAGAGGTGGAGATAGATTTCACCACAGCAACAACCTAAAAAGATGATAGAGCATTGACAGAGCATTGTCTTGTCACGGTAACTGTCACCTTGGTCTAGTTACCATATATAGTTTTTAAATTGTTTACACAACGATATGGTGTTACTCATGTCAACTGCACTGCTGATGCCTCCTTGGAATATTTGCACCCACTGCACTTTTACGGCCCTCCTGAATCACTGAACTACTCACCTTTGTTATGTGTTACATGGAAATCCTGATTAGATACCAGATGCAGTGCACTTAATGACAACATACTTTGTTTTAGAAATGTCTTTAAAAGAATGTGCATTATATGAAACCAATCACTGTTTGAAACGAGTTCAGTTCAACTCAGTGTGTCTATAAGACTTTAACCTTTGGCTGGCATAACTTAAGCAACAGCACCACCTAGTGGACACAGTCAGTCATCTTAAACTCCAGTAATCACCCTGGTTTTAAACCAACTTCTGCGGCTAATTCAGGTTAATAATCATTATAACTGTGTTGAACACAACACTGAGAAATAGTGAATGCTACTCTTTCAGCTTATTGCAGTTCCCAAAGAAGTTGGGAAGAATTTCATTGTAGCAAAAAATTTGGCTTGGTTTAGGTGGACTGGGTCGTTATCTGTTTTTGGAAAATAAATAAATAGAAAATAAATAAATCTGCTTTTGTGAAAGGGCAAATAAATGAATATTTAACTACATTATTTTTTCCTACAAAGCTTAACTTTTTTATGTAACCTGCCTATTCTGTTGAGGTATCGTCAAAGCAACTTAACACCAGTTTAAAAAAAAACCCAAAAAACTATTCATGAAAGTTTTTCAGAAATAAATTGCTTTATTTGTATTAGCAAATTAAGGCTTTATTTATTTTTGTTTTGTTCATTTGTTAGGTTGTTTTTCTTCCTCTTGTTTCTTCAATGCAATGAATAAGGGTTTTTACAATTATTTTTATTCATTCATTTAAACGTGGTGAATCAGTTTTGGTATCACGCAGCACAAACCTGGTATAACCTCCCAGATTTATTTTTACACTGCCTACTCCACCCTGTAATGACTGCGACCTTATTTCAAAACTTAATTTTAAATAGTTTTAATTAATCACTGCACCTCTTGTCTGCACTTTTGCTATTTTTGATGGTGATTTTTTTTAAATTGTAAATCATTTAGTAATAAATTCTACCTTTTATATCTTTTTTTCCTCTTCACTTTTTCGGTATGTTTTATATTTTATTGCTCTGTAAAGCACTTTGAATTGTGTATGAAATGTGCTATACAAATAAAGCTGCCTTGCCTTAGTTTTATTTTATTTTATTTTATTTTCATTTCGTTTTATTTTATTTATTTTTTCATTTAATTTTATTTTATTATTTTTTTTATTATTTTATTTTGTATACTGCGCGACCGGAGCTTCATGTTGTGCGTACCCGGAACCTTTTAGCGGGGAAGACTTTAACGTGAGGACACTTGTGCAAAGATGTCAGACGTACCGGATAACGCTAATGAGCGTGAGTTTTTAACTAAATATTTTTGTGACTTTTAGACAATATTAATGGTTTCGTAATATGTAATAGTGTTATAACTGTAAGGCTGTTGTCGGTTTTAAACAAACGTATCACTGTTGCTATAGCAACACTACCGTTACCGTTAAATGTTTCTGTTTGCTAGTTTTCAGGGTTTTTACACTCAGGCAGGGTTTCAGTTAGCTAAAATATCATTACAGTTGCATATAAACTGGCACTACTGGGTTGTTTTGAGAGAAAATTAAACAGAAATCGCTTGTGAGGTTCAATGGCGCACTTAATAAACTGTCTCTTATAACGTGACAGCCATTTGATAAATGACAGCGGATCGATATCGCAGAAGTTGCTCAATTTAGCTCGAACGAGACATAATAAACACACAGGACTACATATACAGTGCTGAAATCTTTGTTTTATGAGCTGCTACACCACTTGAAATGTTGCTGAGTCACTGTGACGCAGACCTGCAGACTCAGTGTGGAAAATAACAACAGTTACTTTCTGGTTTTTACAGATATTATACTACATTAAACCATACTGTTCTGCTGTGTTGCATTCAGAGATGATATATGCTACACCCCAGTTACATTTAATCTCCTTAACATCCAGTTTACTTTTAATTCTCTATGTAATTAATTTCAGTGTTATTATATATTCACCTTGACATGGTTGGTGTGTTTGTAAACTTAAGTATCTCAACTAGAATATGAAAGAAAGTCCTGTTTGTTTCATCCAAGTTTGAAATGACAGTCCCACCAGCAGGCAGTGTGGGTGAAGAGGTTAGAAAATATGTGCACTCACCTGCCACTTTATTAGGTACACCTTACTAGTACCGGGTTGGACCCCCTTTTGCCTTCAGAATGGCCTTAGGTCTTCTTGGCATAGATTCAACAAGGTGCTGCTGGAAACATTCCTCAGAGATGTTGGTCCATATTGACATGATGACATCACACAGTTGCTGCAGATTTGTCGGCTGCACATCCATGATGAGAATCTCCCGTTCCACCACATCCCAAAGGTGCTCTATTGGACTGAGATCTGGTGACTGTGGAGGCCATTGGAGTACAGTGAACTCATTGTCATGTTCAAGAAACCAGTTTGAGATGATGTGAGCTTTGTGACATGGTGCGTTATTCTGCTGGAAGTAGCCATCAGAAGATTGGTACACTGTGGTCATAAAGGGATGGACACGGTCAGCAACAATACTCAGGTAGGCTGTGGTGTTTAAACCATGCTCAGTTGGTACTAAGAAAATCTCCCCCACACCATTACACCACCAGCAGCAGCCTGAACCGTTGATACAAGGCAGGATGGATCCATGACGCCAAATTCTGACCCTACCATCTGAATGTGGCAGCAGAAATCCAGACTCATCAGACCAGGCAACGTTTTTCCAATCTTCTATTGTCCAGTTTTGGTGAGCCTGTGTGAACTGTAGCCTCAGTTTTCTGTTGTTAGCTGACAGGAGTGGCACCTGGTGTGGTCTTCTGCTGCTGTAGCCCATCTGCTTCAAGGTTGGATGTGTTGTTGCTTCAGAGATGGTCTTCTGCAGACCTTGGTTGTAACCAGTGGTTATTTGAGTTAATGTTGCCTTTCTATCATCTTGAACCAGTCTGGCCATTCTCCTCTGACCTCTGGCATCAACAAGGCTTTTTCACCCAGAGAGAATTTTCTCTGTTTCGGACCATCAGAGCAGCCCAACAACCATGTTCAGAGTCACTTAAATCACCTTTGTTCCCCATTCTGATGCTCAGTTTGAACTTCAGCAGGTCGTCTTGACCATGTTTACATGCCTAAATGCCTCAATGCATTGAGTTGCTGCCTTGTGATTGGCTGATTATCCATTTGCATTAACGAGCAGTTGAACAGGTGTACCTAATTAAGTGGCTGGTGTGTGTAGATCAACCATAGACTTGAGTTTAACTCCAGCAACCAGAACCTGCGTGGTCTGATAAATGCCCCACACTGGTAGTTGCAGTATATTGAATTGTAACCCCTGTAATGTGATACGTAACAGAAAGAGAGCGATGACTGGTTGCTCTGTGTAATCTGTAGATCAAAACCTTGTGTTGGGTGCTCACAGAGAATGGGAAACAACAGGATGCACAGGAAGTCAATCCAGGCACTCCGAAAATATAGAAAACAAGGAAGGAAGTCTTAAAAAGACTTTATTGTTGTGGCTAAACCATTGAAAGAGCCAACATGTTTTGACCACTGCAGGTCTTTGTCAGGGCATAACAAAATATATTAAGTTTTCTATATTTTTGGAGTGACTGGATTGCCTTCTGTGATACCGTGATACTTATCATATCAAACTCTTGCCAATACACTGCCTTATTAAGTGGTAGGCTATGTTTTATTTTTCAGACTGCCCGGGCACACGAAGTGAGCAGGCAGGAAAGTCATCGTCATGTCAGGGCTGTCCCAACCAGAAGATATGTGCCTCCGGAGCCACCAAGGCCCCCGACCCTGGTAAGACTGTTTCTATATCTTCCTATTATTATCATGTGATTTACACAGTTCAGTAAATGCATGTGAGATTATTAGGATGATTTGAATTGAACCAGGAGATGTTTGTAGCTTTAAAATAACCAATTTTTAAGTGAACTCTTGTTCTGTCTCATTTGAGAGTCTTCTCCATTCTTCATCTCTTCCCCCTGTCTCATCTCCAGCCATAGCAGAGATTGGAGTGAAGCTGTCAACAGTCAAACACAAGATCCTCGTGCTGTCTGGGAAAGGAGGAGTGGGGAAGAGTACGTTCAGCGCTCACCTGGCTCACGCCCTGGCAAGTGACAGCATGAAGGAGGTAATCATTTAATTTTTTTGGTTTACACTGCTTAAACCACATAGCCAACAGCCATTTGTTCAAAAACCAAAACCTTTAAAGCCACCAGGCCGTTTGGATGATATTTTTTCTATAGGGGTGTACTGCATGACAGTTTCCTCTTTCAAGGTCAAAACGAGTTCAAACCTGTGTTATGTGGAATTAGTGGGCGCTCTCAAACCCATCTGCTGTTCCCTCAGAAGCTGCGGTTTTCACTGTACCTGAGGTTTAGTCTAAACTCTGTCGCTGTTTCCTGTTGGTGTCAACTTAAGATCACTAGAGGTCACTGCAGGCTTGAGTTAAGAGAGGTACGAGGTCGTAAAGTTCAGTATAATGGCTCCCTTGAAAAGAGATTGTGTATCTCAACCGGACTTACCTAGATAAAAATGGGTTAACTAAAATGAATGAATAAAAATGGTCAGCTTCCTCAACATCAGTTGTCGCTGTAGACATTTGTACAGGATTACAAAACTGAGGTGTAGTTTAAAATCACTTCAGACAGTCACAGACTCTACACTTTTTCTGATCCCTTTCTCTCTCTTTAGGTTGCCCTGCTGGATGTGGATATCTGTGGTCCATCCATTCCTCGTATTATGGGTTTAGAGGGAGAACAGGTGAGTTGTGGGCAATATGACATCACTTATGTTGAGCTGTTACCTCAGAGTAGGTCACTAATCTGTTCTCTTGTGCACAGGTACACCAGAGTGGCTCCGGCTGGTCTCCTGTGGTGAGTCAGTTCAAACCATGCTGCTGTAGTTTGTAATGTTTTATTCCTTTAAGAAGTTGCATGTATCATAAATGTGTGTGTGTGTGTGTGTCTTTGTCTGTGTGTCTGTGTGTGTGTGTGTGTGTGTGTGTGTTGCAGTATGTGGAAGACAACCTGGCAGTCATGTCGATTGGCTTCCTGCTCAGCAGCCCTGATGATGCAGTGATCTGGAGAGGACCCAAGAAGAACGGTATTGTGTATGTGTGTGTGTATGTGTGTGTAAAATGTATCTAACTTCTTCAAGATGTCACACACTTAAAACCTGTGTGGCGTTTGTTTAAAATCAGGGATGATCAAGCAGTTTCTGAGGGATGTCGACTGGGGGGAACTGGATTACCTCATTGTGGACACGCCCCCTGGCACCTCTGACGAACACCTTTCGATCATCCAGTACCTGAGCTCCACCCACGTGGATGGAGCTGTCATCATCACCACACCACAGGTAGCACACACTTAAACATAACCTGAACATTAACAGCGTTTACAGCAACTGTAAAGGGGAATTCCAACATCAAATACTGTCTGCGTCTACTTTCACTCCACCTGATTTGACTACTTGGTCTTCAGTCGGTAACTTTCAACATTTCCCAGAATGATTTTCAGCCACCTGATGTTCATTCAGCTGGTCATTTTTGTGTAATTCCAGAGAGTAATAGTAATAGTGATAGTAAGACTGAAAGCCTAGACGTGATTAACAGACAGAAAATGAGAGAAACGCTCCCTTTACTCAGAACGCAACATGCCACAGCTACCTTGCAACACGCAGCACTCTCAGTGCTGCTGGGGGAAATTGGTATCCCTGCCTCCCTATGTACTCTGCAGTATTATAATGCTTCTAAAGAAAGAACCTGTGTCTTAAATATTCAACAAGCACAACGGGAGAATGCCACATTATGCAATGTACTTGTAAGTGCTTTGACTAAGGAGTGGGATCTCATTTTATCTCACCTGGAAAACCCCTCACTTTGATTACTGCTGTGACCGTCACCAGTCCTCTCTCCACCTACAGGTTTTACCCACAGCTAAATACAGCAAGCCACCTACATGTTTAACCTACAGCTAAATAAAGCAAGTCACCACCCATTGTGGGGGTTATGGAGAGCAATGATGGGAAATGTAATGTGTTTTAAGTGCATGAGGCACGTTAAGAGAAAGTGGGTCTAATGAAATGAGTACATGTTTTCCTACTCTTAACCAAAGAATTTCCTCAGCCTAAACTTCACCACACTGTATTTGCCACATGTCAGTACTGTAGAGATGACCAAAAAATGTTGGAACAGCCAACGTGTTACGGATACAGTACACATGATATGAAAGACATTAATGTCTGAGACATTAATGAAACATGTCGATAGTCTGCATTATGTTCACACTAAATGTATTTTGTTATTGCAAAACTGTGAGTATGTAAAGTTTATTTATAGAGATACAAGATGCTGAACAATAAAAACACTAAAGAAAAATAACAATAAAACCGAGAAACAGGAAATAAAACACATCAAAACTGTACAGAGAATAAAAATATAAAGGCATTAAAATTGCACAGAAGTCAAGTCCACATTATGAGACAAATGGTGTGTCTCAAATCACATACTTCCGTTAGGACACTTCCATGTCGTATATTATGTCCCCTATGTACTTATTGGCATAGTGCGCGATGTCGACAGGGTAATGTTTTCTCAAACCAAACACAGCCGTTGTGCACTCACCGGAAATGACCACCGCAAATTAGCTAGTTAGCAAACTAGCATTAGCATTTGCGTTATCGTTTGCGGTACCAAATCATTACAGACTGCTAAATTAACCCAATAAACATACTGCTGGCTTATACCTGACAACAGTATAGTGGTGCTTAGTGCAAAAAAACACATGTATAACTTACATTTTTACAATGCAGCGACGTTCACGGTCGCACAGTTTGAAAAGTGGCCCCTCCCCTTCTGCTACGTAGCCAAGATGGCGACCATTGAGGGTGAGAAGTGTCCATAGTTCCACACTCAACTTCTTGACCGTTTTGAGGGCACCATCCGGGTACTCACAGTGCACTGCATTTTTCCATACTTCTCAGTGTGAATGCACTTATGCACTCAAAATATTTTAAGTACAGAAGTACGCAATTTGAGACACAGCAAAAGTGTTTACAAAAGAAATGAGTTTTTAACAGTTTCTTTAGAATATTCTCTGACTTAGTGTTTTTAATATCTATGGGATGACAGTTGCAGAGCTACAGCTGCAAAAGCATGATCTTTTTTTTTTTTTGGCCAAGATTTCGGGACAGCCAGAGGCCTTGGTCAGAAGGCCTGAGGGACCTAAGTCGTCCCACCTTAGCCAGGGGACACAGTAATTGAAGAATGTAAAGTGGGGCCAGTCTGTGTAGTGCTTTATAGGTGACCAAAAGAATTCTAAAATCATTCAACATCCTATGGGTAACCAGTGTAGAGCAGCCAATACAGGTGTTATGTGTGGCCTCCGTCATGTATTTGTTAGAAGTCTAGCAGCCACATTTTGGACCAAGGTGAGACACAGAACAGCTCAGGGTGGTGAACAGTGAGTTACAATAATCAAGACAATAGGAAACTAAGACATGACAGATTTGTTCCAGATCTTAAAAGATAATGCAGCTTTGATTTCGTCAGTGTTTCTTAGTTAAGATAAACCAGACGGGACCACGTTCTTTACATGCAGGTGTTGGTCAAAGAAGACTCCCATTAGCATTTGCAGCCAATGGAGATGAAACTATCAAGATTTCAAATAATGATTACTGTTCTCAGTATTATCATGCTGTTGTTAAAATGTGCTGATCATGTCCAGAAAGTACTGATACACACGCTCATCTTCAAAAACCCTCAATAAGCTCCAGTATATCCAGAGCTTTGCTGCTCAGCTGCTCACCCACTCTCACACACCGTGACTACACCACCCTCCTTCTCCATAAGCTCCACTGGCTCCCCATCCCCAGAGAATCCACCTCAAAATCCTCCTCATAACATTACAAAGCCCTCAATAACCAGGCCCCTCCCTACCTGTCTGAGCTCCTCCATCTTCACACTCCCACCGACACACTCCACTCTGCCAATGCCAACCTCTGATGCTCGTCTGTTTTTTGTTTTGTCCCTGAATTTGTAAATCGTATTTGAGTGCCAATGTATTATTATTACTATTATTGAAATGATTTCACCAACAAATAAAATGAGCAGCACTTTCAGTTTGCATAGATAATAAAACAATACCATAGCCAACACCTGCACCAACATCAACATATGAAAACCATATCAGACGTGCATTAATCAACATAAAGACAGCCTGTCTTTGAAATCCTTGCTTAGTCACTGTGTCACTGCAAATGAGGACATGGAGCCATTAGCATCACTGGGTTTGCATGCTGCACGTCCCCTATGTCAACAAGGGAACAGCAATTTGCATGCTGCAGCTGCGTCAGGGAGACTGTTGCTAACTTTGGTCGATGTTGTGCGGTAATCAAACATGAGATTAATAATAATTCAGGGTTGAAACGGTTATACTATCCACCGGGAATTTTACAGTCCAGTCATGAAATTGGTAGCTGTTCATCTCTAGCTGCATATTTTGGCTGAAATACTCTCAGGGTCTAAATTAAGGACTTCTGTTCTGTCTTGGTTAAGCTGGAGGAAGCTGTATGACAATTCTTGATAGCAGTTAAACAGTATAGTCTTGTAGTTACAGGAGAACTGTTGGCAGTAAAGTAATCCCAGTGTGTCCTTTAAGCAATAACTTGCAGCTGTTGTTTCCCTGTCACCATTTTTACATCTGCAAATTGCAGCTACCATGTGGCAACCAACAGAGGATGCTATTGTATCATAAACCCATAAAAAGTCAGTGCTACAGTGTGACTACACAAGCTGTCACGGCACCATATAAAGCCATAACCTAGCATGTTTAGTGGTTATTTGTTTATACACAACACAATAAAAGTAGTGAAATGTCAGCCAGACTGTAGATAAAATACAAAACAGTTGTTGGGAGGAAGAAAAAAAACTGTGTATTATATAATAGCTATAGAAGGTGTGAAATCTGTGCATTCATTGTACAGACACACATAAACAGAACACAACACTGGCAGGCTTTAGCTGCTGACTACCCAGGATTTCTTACTGTTATCTGGTTTGACTTACCCTAACATTGGCCGTCCAGTATTAAAAAGCTGGTTATCAGCTAGTTCAGTCAACTCTGGGTTTTCCTCTCCAGCCACGAGTGTGTTCATGTGAAAGATGCAGGGGTGTTAATTACGAACAACATCATCAGTACCATGATTGAAGTAGGCTGCTTCATGTCACATGAGTGAAAGGTACTGAAAGTGTCTGTGACTGCGAGACAGTAAAATGTCATTGGCGTGGGATGTAAACGATACTCTGTAATGTTATAAAAGAAATATTGAAAATACTATGATGAATATGTCACATGAAACACTTTAAGGTGATGCCAGACTGTTTCTGCTGCTGAAATAAAGGGTGGAAAAGTTGCCTCGTTAATGACTGATGAGGTCTATCTGACTGAAGTGTTGCATTTATAATAACAGAAGCTAATTAACAGTGTGTGGATCATTTTGTTATTGTTATTTAGAGCTGCAGTGGTGGAATCAGAGTGTAAAAGTAGCAGCACTATCACTGTGGACTAAAATAAACTTTGTGTAAGTTAAAATCCTGCTAAATTTATGTGTGTAGTGCTGCAAAGATCTCTCTGTTCGTTGACCTCCTATTATCACTGACCTCTAACAATATATAGGTTACTTTTTTCTACCTGAGATTCCAAAATTTCATCCATGGATACTTTTTCTTCAGTGATCTGATTGGTCAGAGGTCGGGTTGTTGACAGGCTGTGATACGATACCATGAACATTACCTGCCCCGGAGCAGCATAAGTTATCACAGTGATTTATCCCGATGAAAACAGAACCAGCTTTGTAGCACTGAAAACCCAGAGTTAACCCTGAAGTTACCTCGCTACCTCCAAATCCTGCTTCGTCTTACAGGCCTTAGGTTAGATAACGACGTCAAGGACACACACCAGTATAAGGTGTGGGGGTGTTTACGAAACAGGCACCAAGAAGTCTGATGTCACAGCAACCATATAGACTCACAGATACACATGTATCCACATCATACTGTATGCATGCATACTGTAAATTTGCCCATATAGTCTTAAATGCAGACAGTGTAAAAATGATGCTCCAGTGTCCCTGCTCTCTGACCCTGATCTTTGTTAACAGCCGATCGCAAATGAATCACATAAACACTTAATTCCTGTGCTGTTCCCCACTGTTTATGTACAGTATCAATGAGAGGCTAAAGATTAGCTAGTATCAAAGTCTGTTAGCTTGTTAACATGCTAAAAATCCACTGTGTGTTCAGGTTCACAATCTGTGCCAAAGCCACAGAGTTGTGAAGACTGTTAGTTGCAGTAGATTGTAAAGTCTTTTATCCCTGTCCAGCGTTTGTCACAATGAACTTGTGTCATTATTTAAGAGCCCCGAAATCAATCAAGTTTTACTGTATTTGGTGAAAGACGTGATCTGAGTAAACACTTCCTCATACTTAAATTAGGCCTGGACTTGTGAGGTCAGACAGTAGGAGAGTCACTTCCTCATCCCTTCAGCTCTCACTTAACCAAAACTAACCACACACGAGGTGGGAATTACCCAAATAAAGTAGCCTGTCTGCTTTAATGTCAAGTGACAAGTTGCTGATCTCTTTATCAAAGAGAAGGGTTTTTTACACTCGAACATTTCCACACATTTCCACACATTTCCACACATTTCCACGTGAGAGCTGCTCAGTTTATCGGGGCTAACTGCTTCTCTCAAGGGAACGACTTGTGAGGGAAGGGAAAGCAATGTTCGCTCTGTTTACCAGTGTTTTCGTCTCCTCCCCGTCTCTGTTGTCCTCATCTTGTCTCTCTCCTTCCTCTCTTGCTTTGCCTTTCTCTTTCTTTCTTTCTTTCTTTCTTTCTATTTCTGTTTCTCGCTGTCTAGGAGGTATCGCTGCAGGATGTGCGAAAGGAGATCAGGTTCTGCAAGAAGGTGAAACTGCCCATCATCGGAGTGGTGGAGAATATGAGTGGCTTCGTTTGTCCTTCATGCAAGGTCACTGACAGATGCACACGCGCCTACACAGTGATGCAAACACACAGTCAGACACACACAAAAGAAACTGGTAACTATCTAATATGATGAAAGGCAATACAAGCAGAGGTTTGTACAGTTTTTGCCAAATGACCTCAGGACACACACAACAAAGAGGAGCAGTTGTTGATGGAGATGGTAAAACCAACGTGACCACAGAGTTGTCACTTCATCTGTTATAGCAAAACAAGTTAATACTGGCCTCCCTTGAAGTCTGATTAGGTCAAAACACCAGCTTGCACTGTGACACAGACTTTGAGAGAGTTGCAGAGTGAGCATGCAGTGCACAGGTTTTCTCAACCACATGCAGCTCACTTTTGAAACCCACAAAATCAACCAAGACCTATGTGCTTTCTTCATGTCTGATGTGTTTTTCTTCTTGGTATTTTTGTCCTCTGAGATGATATTCTTGGTGAGAGACTTTGTACAGAATAGGGCTGGGCAATATGGCCAGAAATTCATATCTCAGTATTTACAGGCAGACTGGTGATACACTATATATATCTTGGGATTTTCTACAAAATGGGCTACATGTTTTCAGCTGCAAGTCAAAGTCACATTTGAGATGTCACAAGCACTTTTATAAAAACAGACTGTGATCAAAATAAAATGCAAAGACAGGGGTTTTTCCCCCCTGTTTGAAAATATATAGCTGCACAACATGTAAATGAAAATGATATGTTAACTTTTTGCACACAGCACTGGAGCTACAGAGGTTTTAAAGGTTTGCACCACAGGATACAAAACTATAACACGAGTGTTAAAGTATCAAGTAGGCCTAAATCCTTTATAGTTTAGAACAAGTCACAGCTCCACGGACCTGCTTCTCCCTCTGTTGTTGTGTCAGATCCCGGTTCCCACTTGGACTGTGTCTCTCCTACTGTTTCCCACGGAGTTCTGCCCCATTTGAAAGGCGAAGGCAGCCCGTATGTGGAAAGACGTCGCCTCCAAGATGTATAATGTGTATTATAGAAGAGAAACACACATTTCAGGACCGCTGACTTGTATCATAGGAACAGACATGTCCTGTGATTTTCAGCCTCCTTTCATATTTAATAGAGAGGGGAACAATACCTGACAGTCATATTCTCAGCTGTCAGGATGTGCCTGCTGTAAAGGGTAAATATAATCATAGAAGGCTGAAAATCACAGGACATGTCTGTTCTGATTATACAAGTCAGCAGTGTAAAGCTCAAGCATGTGGGGGCCTCCTTTCATATTTGATAGAGGGGGGCAGGGTTTCTAAAAGTACAGCTGTCAAGATGCCCCAGCCACAGGCCTTTGCCACCTTGGTCTTGAAAAAACCCAGGGAAAACCCCGTCTTTGTCTGCGTTATATACGTCTTGTATATGAAACGTCTGAGTTGTCGCTGCATTTTCTTAAACACATCTGTCACCTGCATCCAGGTGCTGGCTCAATGTCACAAAATAGACTCCAACTACCGAGAGGAACGGTGACACGCTACGATCGAACCTCACACACAAACTAGTAGCGCAGCGCTGCATTGCACATGTGCTGCGGTAATGTCAGCTCACAGACTGATTCAGCGTAGCATGTGCAACATACAGACTGATGTCACACTGTAGACTAATTAACAGACAGATTAAACAGAGGAGCAGCTCTGTGTCTCTCTGAGTGTTGCTGGAGAGTGAGTGAGTGATAAACTTTCATGTAATGTAACATAACATCCAATTCAATTCAGTTCAGTTCAATTTTATTTACAAAGCCCAATATCACAAATCACAGTTTGCCTCAGAGGGCTTTACAGTATATGACATCCCTCTGTCCTTCGGATCCTCATAGCGGATAAGGAGAAAGTCCCTACTAAAATAAAGAGGAGATTCTTCATTCTCCAATATCGTAGATAAGAAAATCTACACAGTATGATAACCATCAACTTTTATATCACGGTATTCCTTGAAACCGGTATATCACCACAACCCTAATAGTGACATCATCAAAGTAGTGTCACATGTGGCTTTGAGACTGCATGTTTACAACAGAAAGCCTGTGTTACAAACTTTAAATGTAGCATTTAAAAGATGCTATTAGTTTCCAAATGCAGTGTTTGTGGTGCTTGACTCATTCGAGGGACTAAAAATCAGGATATCTCAGCCTCAGCTTCTCAATTTTGACCGCTCAGTTTTTAATCTGTCTCGTGAGTAACCCAACTTCATGACAGTAAAATGCTAAATTGCCTCCAAGCACGTGTGGCTTTTAATTTTGGCACCTGGTTTGGTTTTAATCTCAGTCCGATAAAAAGTTAGATAAGTTTCGGTCAAAGTTTAGTCATTAAATGTTTGTTACTTTCGTCCAGTTATTGTAAATGAAATGTTTATCTGATTTTAGTCATGCATTATTTTTATGTCTTCGAAGCATTTTGAGGTCACAGCTGTCACAGTTTTTGTTTTGTGCAGTTACAGCAGTTACATATATGACTTACAGTTCCCGTCACTCCCAAGGTTAGAGGAAAAGGCAGTGTTCACACACCCACAGTGTCTTATCCCTCTGCTCTCAGTGGCACAATGGACTGAATCTCCTCAGTGAATACTGTTATCACTTCCAAACTTTGGCTGCTCATTTAATCAGAGTTCTTGTTTTCAAAGGGTTTTTTATTTAGTTTTACTCTTTGTTGTTGCCGTGAAAAAAAGGTTGTCAAAGAATGTTTTGTCGTAGTGAAAATAATGCTGGTGTACATCTTGAAAAGATCTGAGAAAAGGCCTTTTGAAGTAGCAAACAGCTTCAGTTTGTGAACTAAAAATTAGCTGTTAATGCTTTATGTTGTGTCCCATGTGTCCCACAGACATGCCAAATGTTGAAAAGTTCCTATGTAACTTAGGTTCCACAGAATCTGAAGTGCAAACATTGATTTTTCTTTGTCCTCTCTGTTGTAGAACACGTCACAGATCTTCCCTCCCACCACCGGGGGCGCCGAGCGGATGTGTGCAGATCTAAATCTGCCCCTGTTAGGAAAGGTACCTCTGGACCCCAGGATAGCACGAAGCTGCGACGAGGGCAGGTCTTTCCTAAATGTAGTGCCTGACTCTCCTGCTGCTCAAGTCTACCAGAGTATTGTGCAGAGTAAGTGTTTTACAGGAATACATACCCACCACACACGCATATACACGAGCATCTCCGATGTCAGTTTCGTCACCTTTCACATCATATCGTACATTTTGTTACATTCTAGAGAAAGGAAGTTAGACACAAAAATGACTTCCAGTGAAGTCCCTTGTTGTTTTTGATGACTAGATGATTTGCTTAACATCCCAATTCCCGATTAAATGTAACGAAAGAAGAAGTGATCACTTCACAAATGGGAAGCAGTCGACTAAAGGGGAAGAAGGCGAGATCAAAATTCAATAACTGTACTTAAAGCATGAGATTAAAGTTGAATAGTTAAATGTGGTTTGTGTCACAGATGATTCACAGTCGTTAGCAGGCAGTTCATGAAAAGCAAAAACACACAAAGACGTTAAAACACAGAGTTGTATTTCTTTGCGTTCTTGGGAATCCTCATCAAGCTCATCATTGTCTTCCTCCTCTGCTCTCTCCTCCTCCAGGTATAAAGGACTACTGTTCCAACCGTGTGACAGAGGAGCAGAGCGCCGCCTGAACCCACTGATGGCGGCCATGTTGGACCAGAACACTGAGAGAGATCACATGATAAGAGTGTGGTAGCAATAATGAACTAGTGAATAAGAAACACACACAAAGCTAATGGCCTCCCAGAATGATCTCAACATGATAATCAGTCTTGACAGGCAGCAGCTTGCAAACCACTTTGGTGAAGTATTGGGGATAAAAAAAAATCGGAAATAAAGAGAAAAAATGTTGTAATGATGGGTGGGCTTATCAAAAACAAAAAGCACTAGGTCCTAATTTTAAACACGAATGCTTGCATCTAAAAAATAAATAGCATATAAATTCAAACTACCACTCTGGAGATACTTTGTATATGACATTTTATACTTACGCTGAGATAAAATACACTTTTAAATCTCTGAGGAAAAATCAATATATTGATATAAGGCTTTTTGAAATGTTTATCTTAAAGGATAAAGCTGGAGATATTATTCTTATTTATGTTATTGTCTTACAAATTCCATAAAAAGACCAAAACCCAACAATGTGTTGTGCTGTTTCTCAATTGACCTTTTGCTAAGCCCCGCACCTTTGTGATGGTCAGACAAGCTGTCGCAGTAAGCATGGAGCCCACACTGTAACTAACTGCACTTCCTGAAGAAATATTATCATATTTTTGGAGAAATGAAAGAGTGATTCCAGAGAGAAGCAGACAGAGGGATCTAGAGTCTGTGTTTGAAGGATATATCCAGGATGTCAAACTGATTCAGCAGCAACAACAGGTTAAAAAGACAAAGATAGTTGGAAGCTAAAGCCGAACTATAGGCTACAGATCACAGTGTAAAAGTGAACTACCACATCACTGCTGATTGCCACACAAGACAATGAATATAAAGGGAAACTTTGCTGATATTGAACCAGCTGTGTGGCATCGCAGTGTGTGCAGATGAACTGTGTTTGGCTTCACCCCGTGCTGCTGCCAGCACCCGGACATCCACCGCCAGATGGGCAGGGATCTCTGGGGGAAGCCAAACAACGTTCATCTGCACACAGTGCGATGACACAGTGTGGTGAATATCAGCAAAGTTTCCCTGCTTTCCTTCACTGGTTCCTGTACAGCAGGGTCGGTCTTTGTTTCACTGTTATAATCATTAAAAAGCAAAAGCAGCATGTGTATACATTCAGTAGGCTATATCTTCAGTAGCTAGCTGGCTAACCCTACACTTTTCAGGGTTTGATTTTGGTTTTGGAACAGGGAAGAAACGTATATCTTTTTCCAACCTCTCCAGGTAACGAGTATCATTAATACATGACGTGCCCCAGACACAACATTTAGCTCCAAATCCACAAAACCAGCCTGACAATGAAGGAAATCTGAAATGATTGCATTAGAGTCAATGGACCACAGCTGTGTTAGACCCTGGTCTGAGCAGACCTGATGCTATGTTATGATTGGTCAGTGTGCGTCCGGGGGCGGGATTTAGCGAAGGGTCAATTCTGTCAGCAGTGCACAGGTTCTGCTGTATGTGGTTCTAGGTGACAAGCCCATGGGTTAACACTGAAGATATATACTTATTCTGTAACAGCTGGGCACTCTACATTTTCTAAATATGGACTCAAATGGTCGCAAATAGTGCATTTACTGGGAACTATTTTCAGCTGCGGATGAATACACATTTGGGGCCCTATCTCACACCCAACACAAAGTGCCACACAGAGCAGTGTAACTGTCATTGCTAGTTTCAGGCCAGCACAGCTGTCATTTTCATGGCCAGCAGCCACATTGTGCAAATGTATTTGTACCCATCTGTGTAGGTCTTAAAATGAGCTGTGGTTAGGTACATTGTTTGCACACTGCTGTTTTGAGGAGGCAAAAAGCAACTGTGCCATTTACTAATAAAAAAAACCTGCTCTAAAGTGAGAATGGCACAGTATCGTCCTATTTAAAAGGCACGTAACTCAGAGAGTAAGGTGCACCAGCATAAATGGGCTCACAACACGCATACAGTCCACTTGTTACGCACACAGGGAGCATCAAGCTTCTGTTTGTTCTGACTCCTGACATCATTACATCTTCTCTGGCGTTCATTGTTTCAGTAAGATGAAATGAGCCAAGCTGACGATGTGTAGCATCTTCATATTAGCAAAAGTTTGAACATTTATATTTGTATGTGCGCTCTCAACAGCTAATTAATGTTAGCTCAAGTGGGTAGTCAACACTCCGGTTTTATACATCCAAAAAAATGAACTGCTTGGCAAAAAGACCAGGCGTCTAATTAAGACAGGCCTATATTTGTCAAAATGTGTAGCTACACCAGGCTAGTAAAAGGGACCTGGCGTTTAATTTAAGTTTTACGGTATATCACTTTCGGCACTGTGCGGCTGTTGTGGTGATGCCAGGAGATCAGGACACACTCAACGCTGCCGCCTCCAAGCACCTCAGGTAGCACTGGGGGATTCCTGCTGCCCCTGGTTCACTCGTGGGTTTTCACTTCGCTCAGGAGCAGATCTGTTTCCTCAGCAGAAAACTGCTCGCTTCTCCAATTTGTCACATCTGCAATTAAATAGCAGTGCGCCAGGCACCAGGCGCCAGGTGCAGCGAGCCTGGCTTTTAAAGGGAATGAGAGATGATACTGATTTGTTGAAGTCATGTTACACCTAAAACACACCCATGATCAATAAAAGAATTAAATACAACTCCTCTGCCCTTTGCACCTCAGTTTGTGCCCGGATTATTATGCGCTGTTTAGCTAGCAAAGTGGAGCTTGATGCCCTAAATGCACTTGCACCATGCACTCTAGACCATGCACATCATTTAAATGGGGTCTGTGGTGTTCCAGCTTTCATAGCAGCAGGACAGGATTGCACTCAGGATTGACTCAAAATAAAAAGTACATGTCTTTCAGTGCAGCGGTGGCGCAATGATGTGTTTTTAATGGAGTTCTGCAATGCGGAGGAAACTACATGAGGCATTAAATACTTAATTGATCCATTTATTGTTGTTTTTGGTCCCAGCATGGAATTTGTTGACGATAAGATGTAGAATATCACCAGACTTATTCTTTCATCTTAGAGTATATGTGGGGACCTGAGCAGTGCCACAGGCTCAGTCTGTCAGGGCGCTACATGTCATGTAGACATCTTACAATATGTATTATGCACTTTGTCTGAGAATGAGACTGTTGCGGATGCTGTGGTGCTTCCTGAGATACCGAATATATCCACTTAGTTCCTTTAGTCGATGAAAAGAGGTAGAGACTCTCACCATTATGCTGTAGTAAGGAAGGTGCTATTTGGGGAAGTTAAATGTCAGATCAGGTAGTAAATCAAGCAGTCATGTGAAACATTTAACCATTTCCTACAAGGACATTTAGCAGCCCTGAATCGTGATAGTGTATCCACTGACCCTCACTGTGCGTGGTTGCAGTGAATCGATTGTAAGAAGGGAGATAAAGTCAAATGATGGTACCTTCAAGGGGATTTAAACCTGGTTTATCACTTCCTCTAAATATAAAGCACAGTATCATCGTCATAGTATAAAATCTTAACTTCCCATGTGCTTTCTCAGTCACTAAAATCATTCCACATTTAAAATGAGGAGGCTTTACGGAGATTATAACCTTCCAAGCAACGTAGATGGTTTGCCTTGTTTTCAGCAGATCTAGTGGTTTTAAAAATGTGAATGTGTGAATCTGGGAGAGCTACATAGATTACTCCGTCTGAGATATGCAAACTGTGCATACAGTATGTGGAACTTTAACTTTCTCATTTACATTTCAGAGCCACTGACTCAATTGTGCAGAATTTAAAAAATGTTTTCACACATAAAACTGAAGGCAAAATCTTTGATTTTCTTCAAGTTCAGATGTAGCTAGGACTGCAGTAATTCAGTTGTTCCTGATTCACAGTAAATATGTTTTTGGATGAGATTTTTCATTTGTTATACACGATTGTTTCAGACACATTTTGGTTAGTGTAATGCACTTGCTTTAACTGATTTATGAAATAGATTACCAAACATGAAATGACCTGTAATGATTTTTCAGTCAAAATGATTAAACTCCTAATGCAGGATTAATTGCAATAACCTTGTCTTTAATATTAAAACCCTCACTCTGAGTCTTTTTCCAATATATTCCACTCATAATAATATTGGTTATGTGTACAGTGTTAGTCAAAGTGGTGTGAACACAGTCTCACCAGGTCTGTAGTGCCCCAGTCTTGCCACCATGTGTTATTTGTGTATGCATGTACAAGTGTCTGTGTGTGTACTTTGCCTTACATGGTCGTAGTTCCTCCCTGGTTCACTAAAAAACACATGTGAAACTGCATCTGCATCCTGCTAACAGACAAAACAACAGCAGCCCAAAGCCACACATGATGTTTTTCTCACACAAAGCTCTACTTTTATTTTATGATCGCACCGGCTGCGGTCAGGTGAGTTATAGAAGTATGTCTTTAAGGAAACCTTATACTGAGGGTACAAAATAGTTTTTCTCACCAAATAAGAATAGTGAAAGCAGCACACTGGACTGTTTAATATGGAAGATTATTAACAAATTATTTCACCTGCCTTAAAAAGCATCAGCAGCAACACCAATGAGCACCAGCAAATTTAAATGTCTTGACCCTCAATCATCATTAAAGGGTAAGTTTGCCCCAAAATCAAAAATACATATTTTACCTCCCACCTGTAGTGCTATTTATTAGTCTAGATTGCTTTGGTGTGAGTTGCCGAATGTTGGAGATATCGGCTATAGAGATGTCTGCCTTCTCTCCAATATAATGGAACTAGATGGCACTCGGCTTGTGGTGCGCAAAGCCACCAAAAATACTCAACAGCAATGTCTCTTTCCAGAAATCATGACCTGGTTACTCAAGATAATCCATGTTTCATGTATCATTTCATATCAGGAACTATTTTGTTTCTACTGAACTACATCCGCCTACCGTGTCACTGCGCAGAAGGAAGAGTGCATCTACTGCTAGCTCACCTAGCACCACTGATCTAGCTAACGTTACAGCTCAGCAGAAGAGAACACCATTAATATTTACATATGGAGCTGTCCTCTCATCCATGAGTAGATGCACGCTTCCTTCTGCGCAGTGATACAGTTGGCAGGTGTATGTCGATAGCAAGAAAACAGTTCCTACATGAAACTGCTCACAACAAGGTCTGTGAATTATCTTGAGTAACCGGGTCTTGATTTTTGAGTTTTTCAAAAGCATTTGAGCACCACAAGCCGAGTGCCATCTAGTTCCATTATATTGGAGAGAAGGGAGACATCTCTACGGCTGATGTCGCCAACACCTGGCAACTCACACCAAAACGTTTTGGTGTGAACTCCCTTTGACTTTCCAGGTATGCTCTGCTGTGGCGCTGTAGGTGTGGCACAGGTCATACAAAGGAAATGAAGTGCAGTGAATACAAGTCATGGCAGCTAGGCATGCATTGTTTGGCCAAACCAGTTCCAAACCCTAAAATAGGCAACACAGTGGACACATTAATTGCTAATGGTGACGCTGGTTTGCGTAGTAACAACTTGAGGAGAGAGCATACTGTTTATCAGTGCTTAGTTATGTGTGAACAGCAGTTTTGTGTCTGACTGCAAACCGATAAGTGTGTGAATGTGTTAAATCATGATGGCTCAACATGGAATGGGGAAGGACTTTAATGAGAAAAATAAACAAAAGTATTTCCTTCACTGTTATATTGTTTCACACAGAGGAAAAGTCCCTAAATCAGTGACAACTATAAGTCATCAAACCGGATTTCGGAATATGGTGATCCTGAGCGCCTTAAAGTAAATGTTTTGTAGACATATAAAACAGTGAAAACTGTTATAAGCATTGGAATAATGATGTTTTTATGAATAAATGAATTTGCTGTGATGAAAATACTGTTTTCTTGGTTACAGAGGTGGGCAGGGTGTTATGGCACAAGTAATGACGTGCATGTCAAACAAGAAGCAGTATGTGAATGTTGTAGATTATTTGAACACCATTAGACAAAATGAATACTAATTAATAATGCCGAATACACAACAGGGTTGGGTTGTAGAAAGAGTAATGAAAGTATTGTGTCTGACATTGAAAAACACTTCCTTATGTAAGCAGACTCCAACCTCACTTCCTAATAATAATGAAATCTCTGCCTACATGCCATTAGAGTCACCCTCACATGAAATCCCACGCAAAAACTGAAACAATGCTTCAAACAGACCCCACCTTCAGTGACACAAACACCTCCTTCTTCTAATGAAAACGCCTCCTGAACAAAATAAAAAGAACAACTTAAAACTTAATCATCTCTGCCAGCAGCTGTCTTATTTAGACATCAATGTGCCGGGAGCAGGCGTCGTCGCCATGACCCAGTTTGAGGAGGTCCTGGACGGAGTGCGGCTGGCTCTAACCTGGGCCTCTCCCGCCGAGATCCAAGCACTCCTGGAGGATTTGGTGGAAGGGCAGATAATTTCGGAGGCCTACGGCAAGAGCTTGATTTGGCAGCAACTTACTGAGGGGATCTCACCTGCGGCGTGTAAAGTGGGATCTGATCTGAGAGGATCGACCACACATTGGCACCTCGACCAAGGTCAGCTCAGCCAGGTGAAGAATTTAGGGTCAGGAAAGTCTATAGGAAGGGCTGTATCATCAGTGGGTGAGCATGTCAGCATGAGGTCTAGGCTAAAAATTCATCTACTTTGTGAACATCAAGTTGATCCAAGACTAAATCAAGAATTGAGGGGAGGACCGGTGACGGACGAATGCTTCAATCTCTTTTCTACCCCGATGGGACGTGACAACCAGTGCAGTCTTATTTTTGATGACGAAAATACAGAACTGCTGAGGAGTGCAGAATTAATGCAGAAGCCAGTAAGTGATAATGAAAGAGTGTTTAAGGGGAATTTGGAAGATGAGAAGGAGTGGTTAGAGCAGGTAGAGGAGGCGGCTAGGAGGATAGCTGTTCCTCTGTGGCAGCACTGGGACAGAGGACAGAAGATGCTGCTGCCACTGGTTCCTGCCAGCATGACTGCTGCCAGCTGTGCAACAAGTGAAAACACAGCGCGAGACGGCAAAGCACAATGCCCTGTTTTTAATATGGAAGAGGAAACAGAGCTTGCAGTCGCTTGCAGGACATTAGACTTGTACGCTGACAACTTTGACTACACAGAGGTGGGGATCACTGACCCGAGCTTCACACTGTGTACAGACGGAGCAGCAAAAGGCCTCTGTTTCTCGACATATGACTCTGTGGCGACTACTGGACTGAATCATTTGAATATCTCCGGAGCAGAAAGAAATGCTTCACCTGCTCAAGCCTGTGCAGCAACAGTCACAAACATCACAGACAGGCTGCAGGGCATTCTGGATGCCTGCCGGGTAGCTGACAGTACAACAGAAGTGGACCTGCTCTGCTTGATGGAAGGCGCACAATGTGGCACGGATGCGGAATTTACAGAAGATATTGCACATTTGATTTCTCCATGTGCACCAACAGATACTCAAACTGACGCACAAGATGACTCTTTTTACTCCAGCGTGGATCAGAGCATGACATTAGACAATGTAGAAAATGTTTGCAGGGCTGAGGAGAGGGTGGACTCACAGTGGGGTAAGTTTGCATCATCACATCACGTCTCCTCTTAACAAAAATCATTAATTTGTTTATCTAAAGATACAGTATCAATAACATTTGCTCTGTATTTTATGACTATGTCCTCATATTAGACAAAAACAAGCTGTTGGTTGGTGTATTTGTTTAGGACAGGGTCCATCTTATTGCCATGTCCTTGGTATTTCTGTAGCCTGGGGCTGACTCAAAATGAAACTGAAAGTAGGGTACAACTCAACCACCAAAACCTGTCCAGACGTTTACCTAAAACAGCAGTGAATTAACACTGCCTGCCATCTCATGCAGGTGACAGAGCTGACTTTCATTTATGCAGTGATTATTATGGTGAAGCACGAAAGGGGAAATGGAAAGTACCTGGATATCTTGGAGAGAAAATATGTTTCTTTTAAATGTTATGGCTTCAGTTTTCATATAACCCCCAATTCATCATGCACTTGAGTACATATATAAGAATAGACTACTACTGGCATCAGTGATCCATTGGCAGAATCAGTTCTAGAAATTCAAGAAGACACAGAGTGTAAAAAGAGGAATAAAGAGTTAGTATTTGTTGTGCAAGTTGAGGTGGACCAAACACCCATGCTTGGTCATGAACAACCTGCTATCAGTGCGCATAACACAAAGTTGAGGCAAGGTTTAAGAATGTTTGGCCTGCATAATGATTAGCTCTGTGGAAGTTACTGTAACATGACTCAATTAAAAGGGCAGCCTGGCTTTCATACATTTGGGTGTGACCTATTGTGATCCCTGTTTACCACGTCAAAGGTTAACATTATTTATGTGCTAGCATTTGGCTAACAGTCGTTTCATTTATTCCCCCCAGTTCAGTTGATGTTACAGCTTCAGAAACACATTTGTGCCCATTTATATTTAAGTTACAAAGAGAAACAGCAGTCCCTGAGTCAGCTTCATAAGAATAGACTGCCTTTATGAAGATTCATTTCGCCTCTCTTTGTCTTTGCTTCCTCTCACCTCCTGTCATCCTGCTCACACTCTTCGGACTCTTTCCTTTCCTTACTCCTGCAGGACAGACCGCCATATTTCCTTGCACTGACTGTGTATGTGTGTATGTTTGTGTGTGAGTGTCCATCTTGCACATCCACACACACCCATTGTTTCTGAGGACAGTAGTTTACCAGTATCATGTAAGTGGCAAAACGGGTACTAATCTCGTGATGTAATGAGCATGGCAGCATAGCACACAGCAAGCGGTGTATCTGCAGTGAGAAACAGGTAGAACAGGTACTTTCCACTCATAGCCAAAACTCCCCGTGTTTCCTTGTCCACAGCAAGAGATGTTGAAGTGTGTGTGTGATGTTTTTATTTTACCTGTTGGATAGGGGTCACACAGAGAATCAGAGACTCAAATAGTAGATTTTAGACATGAGCATATATATTTAATATTGTAATATTTGGAAGAGAAAAAATACAAGGATAGCTGAAAAAGTGTTCAAAAAGCAACAGATGAACATATGAGGAGGGGCAGAGCCGGCCACTGTAAATATTTGGGGCTCAGCCCAAACCAAAGGGGGGCCAGGGTCATGCTCCCGCTCAGATTTTTTTCACATTCATGGCAGCTTTATGCACTATTTTTCAAGCAATTTGAGATACTAAAATGCCCAAAAATCTGTACATAATTTGTTAAAAACGTGAGAGAAGAACACAACAAATGACTAATTTTCACTCCTGCCACCTAAAACGAGGCGTGATGTTACTATTTTTAAGTTACATAACATAGGTAGGGTAGAAATTTGGAGTAAAGGCATTACTAATCTTGAAACCTACTTTTGCACAGGATGAATATTTAGCTGACAGATCTGCTACATTTGAATTCATGCAATAATAATCTGTGGTCTTCAATGCTCTGCACATTTACTCAGTTATATTAGATTTCTTTAATATAAAAGCATAAACAACACGGGTATATATTATTATCTGAATGACATGGTTCAAAGTATTTTAAAAATCTAAAAGATTTGGGGCTTTTGAGAAAACATCCAGGGCAGGAACCACAGGAGTCACAGGAGTCACGCCAAAGCTCCGCCTCTGCATACATGTCTGTTATGAAGCATTCACTCAGGCAGAGCTCAGGTAGAAAAGAAAGAGGATCTTAGATATAGAAGGCCATGATGGAAAGGGGGACAATAAACTGACAGACCACCCTAATAATAATGATAACAAGGTGATAACACAGTGATAACAAGGCTGTAGTTATGATACATATTGGGGGGGGGGGGCATCACCCCCAATATTAAAATATGCCCAAAAAGTCCCCCCAAGTATATTGTTGACAATATATACATGAATAAAAAATGTACTATGCTACGTAAGGCAACCACACACCACTGTCCAAAATAATCATGAGCAAATGTAAATTGCAAATGTTACATTTGGTTCTACCTACATATGGTGTGCTGCAGTTCTGCTGCCGCACCTGAGCAGAAGCCATTCTTCGACCAGTGTGTAGGTACAATCATTGTCAAACACTACTGTCTCTTCTTTTCATTGCTTTGAAATGTATTAAAAAGTGGAAACTAGAAAGTAATTAGGGATGTCCGGCTCAAGTTTTTATGCACCTGATCCCGATCCGAGTCATTTATCATTGAGCATCTGCCGCTACCAAGTCCCGATTTGATACTTCTGTGATCCTAGATAATACAGCTACACAGTGTACACTTCACACCCTGCATCAAAGCTGTTCCTTAGTGTTACTTTATGTATTTATTTATTTATTACTTAAAAAGTAACTAGGTATAAAATGACAACCCCCTAAACGCAAGATACTGTCAAACTGAGCTGAAAGTTCTCATAAATTTTGGTAACAAAAACATAAATTAACAGTCTCGTGCTGCATTTTTGCTGTTGTTTATGGCGTGTGGTGTTTTACCGTGGGCGGGGCTCAACCCGGGCTCTTACACATACACACAGGTGCACAGCGGAGTGAAGGAAAGAAAGACAGCAGGAGAGTTGGAGACGGCTGCACTCTGCATATCTCTACATTAAAGCTTTGAGTAAAAATGCCTGTGTGACAGGTGACATTAAACAAAGGATCAAATCATCTTTATAACTCTATATAGCCAATGCCGATCAGATAAAAAAATGCTTTAATTGGCCCTGATACCGATCTTTGAGATCAGATCGGAACATCCCTGAAGGTATTGTGAGTGTTTTGTAGGCTATATCACTGTCCATACTTATATTTTTTAAGTGTTAGCGTGCCTTAAAAATGTCGTAAATCAGGTCATAATTAAGTCATATGTTGGCTCCCTAACATGGCGCTTAATCATCGAAACTTTGTGAACCTCTGATCTAAGATTTTTATTTTAAAATACTCTTAAATGAGCTGGGATAGGCTCCAGCCCCCCCGCGACCCTCAAGAGGATGAAGAGGTTAGAAGATGAAGATGAATACTCTTAAATGGTCTGTTTAGCTAGCCTGGTAGACCATCCTGACAAGTCTGGACTGGGTGCCACCCCAAACCTTCTCAGTGGGTGGGAGTCCTCGCCTTGACAGACCAACTCCTTCAGCCAGTCAGTGTGACAAAACACCAGGACACGTCTTCATCATCAACAGAGCCAGTTGATAAATCAAGCTTTTGCCAAATCCAGTTGGAAGAAGGGAAAAAACATCTTTTCCTTCGTGAAACTCCACAAGTGCATACTCTTGTTCTTGATTAATTATTGTTATTTGACAATCTTGCAATGACTTCACTAATTGCTGTGTTTACTGTGCTAACAATACAGTTAGCGCTTGTTGCCTCTGGAGCAGCCATTACTGTTCTGCAAGCTGCGCCCTGCATTTTTCATCATCAGCTACAACGTAATCCCTGATTGATTGCTTACGCCAGGGCCACACCGGACGCGGAAGCGCTGCGAATAGCCTTGAAGCGCCTCAAAGCGAAGCCAGTTTCCTTTCGGCGCCCATGTTAACCGATTGTGTCATCCACACTGGCCGCGCCGCACAGCTCCGCGAGAGAGATGAACACACACACACACACACGCTCTCACACCCACTAATACAACACACACACACACGAGAGAGAGAGAGAGAGAGAGAGAGAGAGAGAGAGAGAGAGAGGGCCGGCTATAGGGGGGGGGGGGTGGGGCACACACACGCAAACAGAGAGAGATACCCATGATGGAAAAACAGCCCCAAATGTGACGGAGACAACAGCTGGGAGCAGAAGCGCTTGTCGACCGGCGTGGAGAAATGCGCGTCTGATGTGAACGGGCTCGCGCAAGAATTTCGGTGCGCTGCGCTCCGCAGCACTTCGTTGGCAGTGTGGCCCTGGTGTTACACTGACAACTACGGTGCGGATCCCTCATTGGCCCCAATTGGATTTTAATTCCTGGATACATGGCGGGGTGGCACTGAGTGCAGACTGATACAGAGAGTGGAACAGAATATAAGTTCATGTCATCAGGATGGTCTTACCAGGCTACAGTTTAGCTGTTAAGTTTCTAAAACATTATTCTCCAAAGTTGTTGCAATCCGGCATTGGGCAGTGGTTGGAGAATCAGACACTGACGAAAAAAGGGGAGTGGTGGTGGATGGGTCCAACAAACGCTAACATTCACCTGGGAGGACTGTGTTCGCATCCCGTAAGACTATAAAGCCAAACCCTGTTTTTTTTTTCCTCAACCTAACCATGTGCTTTTGTTGCTTAAAACTAACCACATATGTTAGTTGTAGGAGAAAAAAAAAATCAATTCGTAGTGCATGTATTTTAAAAGAGATGTATGCAAACTGAATGCGTTGCCCATACCCCATTCAGGGGTCGGCTCGCAAAAAGTGTAGATTAAAACGGTCCCCCTAATGTTGAATAGCTGATTACGGCCCTGGATGATAATAATAAAATAAAACTGACTGATACAAAACTGATCCATGGCAGCAACATGCCACAGATGTCAGATGTCAGCTGTCTTCACATCCAAATGGGGAGATTATTTTTAGAACCACAGAAATTTGATGAAGCTGAA